TTCTTCCCTTCCCCCCATGTGGCTCTGTGCCCCCTGGGCCCACCCCATCCCTACGGACCTCCCTGCTTCTCCGCCAAGGCCATGCTATCTCTCTCCCTCATAACCCAGCACCAGTCCCTCTGCCTCTGGGGAGCCTCCCCCCCCACCCCATTCGAGCCTGCGCCTGACAGCCTGGCCCACAACTTGGCATAGAGACAGTTTTACATTTTAATCTAATGATCGCGTGCACATTAAATCTTCTGCTTCGGTAAATGTGTCTGTTCCTTCAGGGAGGGAGAAATGTCTATTTCTCTAAATCACACCGACGAGCATTCATTGTCAATAAATATTTGGCCATCTTGGAGAAGCAAGATTCACACAACAGCCAGGGTAAAATAAAACAGGACGTGTCCAGAGAAAGTTACAAAGGGAGTTTCAGGAATTCAGAGAACGAGGAACAAGTTCTGGTAAGGATGAAAGAAGTGAATCAGAGCTGGACAATCCACATATGTGAGTAAAGAGAAATGGAAGGTGTCCCTAGGGTGCCCCACAGGCCTGCACTGCCTTGTTCTGGCTGACCCCAGCAGACTCGGTGGTCACAGCTACCCCAGAAATTGCACACCCCACCCTTCCCTGCTCATCAAACTTCCCCTTATGGCCACACTGGGCCCCATTCGCTCCCTCTGCCTCTTTCCCCCAAGAGAGGAGGCTCATTCTTGCCTGGGGGGTGTAGGGGTTTTGGTGCTCATTGAACAGCGACATTATGAGAGAGCCCCCAAGGGGATACTGTGCCTTGGGCCCCCCAGGACATAAAAATCAATGAGACGTGGTGACAGCACAGTAAGCTCCCAAGTACAGACATGACCGCGGGACAGGGGAAGTGTGTGCAAGGGGTGAAGCGTATGGGGACTCGACAAGGGATCGGGGATGTGGGTGGCAGAGAATGGGTCAAGAGGGCTAGGACTAGAAGAGTCGGTCAAGCTCAGTTTGGTTTTTACCTTTTACTAAAACAAGCTCCCCTCCTTCCCAGTATGTTCGGGGGATCGGGACAAGTGTCGGATGTCGGGGAGGTCCATGTGTGATTCCACAGCCCAGACAGCAAGATCTTCCTAAGATCTAAAATCTGCAAAATCAGCCAGGAGTTACCCATCAGGCCGGGGGCGGAAGTGAGAAGATCTGGTCCGGAGCGGACAAGGGGGGCTGGCATTTGATGCCAACACTCACCCCAAGCCAAGGGAAGCGAACAAGAACATCTAACATCAAGAAGCTCGCATTGTATCAAAATTAACAGCTCGAGCCGTCTGGGTTCCTGTTCTGGCTCTGTCCCAACCAAGCATGGCTGGCTGCCACTTAGTGAGAGCCTAGAACACGCCACACGCTCACAGACAACATTCCATTGAATACCGACAACCTCGAAAGATGGGGCTCATTCTCAACCTCTTTATAAACTGTCATCTACATGCTTATCTACAAAAAAGAAAACCGAGGCATCCAAAGGTTAAGTTTTGCCTAAGGACACACAACCAGCAAGGTTTCAGATCCGCGTGCCCGGGCAGGTCTGACCACTGCAGTGACTGCTCTTTTCCCCCACTGGACGGCGCCGTGTGGTCTCACACACCTCACGCCCCCTCTGTGGACCTCAGGGCCCGTGCCTGCGAATTTGGAGGACCAGACTAAATGGTTCTCAGTGCCCCCTGCTCTGAAACACTGGGATAGAACTGCAGAAAAGAAGCAGCCGCGGACAAGCAGGGCTGGGGCTAGGAGATGGGTTGGGGGCTTGCCCTTCTGCCTTCTTCAGGCTATAGGTTTATAGGAGTTTAAGGAAAGAAGGCCTGCAGTGGCCGGAGAAGGGAGAGGGGGTTGTGGAGGAGGAGGGGACATCGGGCATGGCACCAGTGTGAGAAGGGACCCTGGACACGCCAAGGTGGCCCGTCTCTGTCGGGGTCCCAGGGGCATGATCTTAAGCAAGCAGAGGCCAGGAGACAGGGCACTCACCCCAGCTCACTCCCGGGAGAGGGGCCGAGCGAGGCCAGCCCAAACACAGGCTATTTTTGGTGTTGTGTTGTTTGGAGAGCAACCAGGCCAGAAATAGTGCTGTGAGTTACTAGGACCCTGTCTTGCTCCCACCCCCTGCTCTCCCAGTGAAATCACCAAGAATCGGGAGGTCGGCTCCAACATTCCAGGGAGCCTGTGTAACTGATGGGGGCAGCGCTTTCCTCCCCACAGGAAGACTTGGAACACAGCATTTGACTGTAAAAGGGCTTCTGCAAGAGGAGAAGCCAAGGAAGGGGGACTGAGTCAGAGAGAGCGGAAGAGAGAGAGAGGGAAAGTGGGAGAGATCTCCCGTGGTCGAGACTAGGGGCAGAAACCTGTTGACCAAGGGTTGAACAGGGAAGTCAAGAAGAGGGAGTCCTAGGGAGAGGAAGGGAAAGTGAAAAGGCCAGTGGGTGGTGGTGTTGGGAGAGCAAAGGAAAAGCAAAGAGGAAGAGAGGGGAGCAGGCCAGAGGGCAGCTGGAAGCCAGGAGGTGAAGGGTTTCGGGGAAGACCCGCTGCTCTGAGGCCAGAAGCGAACCAGGGCTGCTGGGGTTTGTGGGCGTGGGATGGGGGACAGTCACAGAAAGTGTGACTCTGGTCTAGTCACGAACCACCCGCTGATGGACAGATAGCAATATCTTTCCCAACTGGTTGGAACTGAAACTTCCCCAGAAATTCACACTCTTATAACTCACCCTCTTATCTCTGACCCTCTGGGAATCAGAGATGGAGCAATTTCAAAAGCAGGGACTTTTCTCTTTCTGTCTGTTTGACCCCTTACAAAAGAGCCACGGCTTGAGCAAGGTGATTGAATCAAGGCTGTTCGCTTGGAGTTCAGGAAAAGGAGGGAAAATGATGGCTTCTTGAGTCAGGATGGATTCTGAGAAGGGCGTCGCATGGAAGTCCGTCCAGGGGCAGCGGGAGATCTGGCTGCACCGTGATGTGTGGAAGGTCTCCACAGGGCAGACAGCGTGGAAGCAAGCCCTGACCACACAGAGGAGTGACAGGGACCACGGTCAAGTCTGGGTTTAGATCACCTAGCGGCCCTAGCTCTTCAGAAAGTCAAAGGAAGAGTCAGAATCCCCAGCATGGGATCCAGTGACACTGGGCCTTGCCTCAGTTTCTAATTCACACCCACCAGATACCTATGAGTTCCCTCCAGTTTGGAAAAAACCCTTTATTAAGTCGGCCCTTTGTGTTTCCAACATAAATCGTGTCTCCACTCTCCCCAACAGGACATAGAGCTGCTCCCTTCCATACCTGGGAACAGTGTGTCTTTTCTGGAATGGTGTCAGGGTCATCCATCAGGTCCAGGAGCAGGGATGGAACCAGTCACTGCACTGGCAGGACCCAGCTTGTCCACAGAAAACAGCAGGGGCTTTTACAGCTAAGGCCTGGCGGGGCGAGGGACAACGGCTCCCAGTATGGCCAACGGAAGAAGGGAAGGAGGCTCACCTCCAGCGGCTGCAGAGGATGGGCAGCGCGGTGCCTCCAGGGACCCCCTTTCAGCCGCTTCTCCACCCACTGCCCTGCTAGCTTGGGGCTTGGCTCTCCCAACCCCTCGTCCCCCTTGAGCCCCCAGGGGTGGAGGGCAGGGCACTGGGGGCGTTTCCAGGGGTAGGAGATGGATTGAGGGCTGCACTTCTGTCTCCACTTGAGAGAGGTCAGGGGTAACCACCTCCTCATGCTTAACCACTCTCTCAGGGACTCCAAACCAGACCAGCAGAGGAAAAGGACATAAACAAGAAGATACATGGAAACGGTCCTGTACTGGAAAAGGGTGGGTGATCCTAACTTTCCGACTGAGGTTTGCTCTTCTTTCCCTACCGCCCCCTCCCCACTTGACTCCCGGGGACAACAGAGAAAACAAACGGAGGCAGAGACAGAGTACAAGTGGGAAAAGCCGGCCAGCTGTTGTTGCCCTTGGCATCTGCTTACTGAAAAATCCAAAACAAATATTCCGACGCTTCCACCCACTTAAACTTCCTGTGGTTCTGCTATCGGCTGTCTCCAAGGATACTCCCAGTCGAACCCCACCACCTACACCAAGCAAGACAGTGTGTAGACCAGCAGATCAAGGGCTTCATCTCCCCACCCAGCTACCCCCTCTGCCCACAACAGCCTGGGCACGTGGCCTGACCCCGTCGAGCCCCCAGGTGCCCGAGTCCGGTCCCACACACCAACTCCCACCTTTCTAGCATTGTTGGGTCACTCCTCCACCTCCAAGCCCAATGGCCTAGAGGCACACCCCACAAACCCGCCACAAATGGACTCTCTCACTGGTGCTCTGGCCCTGCGGGTGTCTGCGTCTCGAGGAAAGGATGAGGTGCGCTTCTCCCCAGGCTCCTAATTCCTTGCCAAGACTTTACCCCGTTAATCCCCGGCCCCTTTCATCCTCCATCACCCCACCCAGCACACTCAAACCCCCTCCAGACACGGCTGTTGGCACCCAAGAGAGCCCCGGAGGCACCGTGAGAGTCTGGACACGTGCGAGAGTCAGCTGTGTGTCATCGACGGGCTGGCGGGCCCTTGGCAGGGAAGAGGGGAAAAACAGAAGGGAGTCCTCTGCGTGCTCATGTCCTAGACAGTCAAAACCCAGACAATCACATGGCACGCTCTGTGCCCTCTGGCCGCGGGGATGAGGCCAAGAGGAGGGAGGCGACCTGTTTCTCCAAAAGAAAAGGAAGAATGTAAACAGGGGAAGGTCATCGCAAACACCGGGTATTTGGGCTGGCCCTGCCCGGGGTCAACCTGGCAGATCATCCCAAAAGAGAGGGACACAGGCAGAGGGTAGCAAGTCCAGGGAGGCCCTTGGGCCAAGGCAAGCAGGGTTTGCCCCGTTGTTCCCGACCCCTCTCGCACACAAACACACACATGCCTCAGCCAGTTTGGCAGAGGGAGGTGCGGAGGGGGCCTGGCCAGACTTCCAGAGCCAGAAAGTGGGTGGGGCTGAGCCATGAGTTCATCTATTTCCTGCCCACGGCCGTATAAAGGGAGGCAGCAGGCTCCCGAGGAGCACAGCCGCGTCTGGCTGCAGGGCCAAGAGCACCGTCGAGAAAGCCACACCCCCTCTGGGGCCGCAGAATCGCCACCGTCAGCAGGAGCAACAGGACAGACGCCTATCACAAGGCACCTTTGAGAACTTCAGGTAAGAGAGAAATTTAAAAAAACCAACAACTCTCCATCTCTTCCTCGGGTTAAGGCGAAGAACGCCCCTCCGCGAAATGCCCTCCGTCCACGATCCCCGCTTTTCTTCTTTTCTCCCCCTGCTGGAGACCTGCAGACCTGAGTTGATGGAGGGCGGCCCCACCGACAACCCCACCACCCAGAAACAAGGGCCTGGATTCTCGGGCCTTCCGCATCAGGACACCCTGCCCACCTCTGGAAAGGGGCTTTTCATGCCCGCTAATTTGAATGAATGAAGGGTTGTGAAAGCGTTAGAAGAGAATTAAAAGCATTATGCAAATCAAAGGCGTTAGTATAATTTGGCCTTTTGTTCTGCCCCCCCACCCCCAAGGGAGAGACACTGTAGGGTGCTGCCAGGGGTTTGGGAGAGTCCCACAGGTGGAACTGCGCTTAAGACTCCCTGGGGCTGAGACGGAGGGGACAGGCTCAGAATCGGGGCCATCAGGGTTCCTTAAGGACTCTCGCCCCCGTGTTCATGCATCACCCCACCTGCCCGTCTTCCAGAACTCTCCCCTCACCAGATCCTTTCTGCTTGCTCTAGGATGCGGACGTCTCCAGTCTTTGCCTGCCTAGCCCTGGGCCTGGCCCTCGTCTTTGGTGAAGCGTCGGCCTCCCGCCCCCACCAGACTAGAGCAGTGCAACTGGCTACAGACTTCGGAGTGAAGGTGTTTCAGCAGGTGGCATTGGCCTCCAAGGACCGCAACATGGTTTTCTCCCCGTATGGGGTGGCCTCAGTCCTGGCCATGTTGCAGCTGACAACAGCAGGAGAGACCCGGCAGCAGATCCAAGAGGCCATGCAGTTCCAGATTAATGGTGAGAGATGGGGCAGAGCCGGGGTCGGGCGCTCACCCCGTCTTCTCGGGACAGGGGCGTCACCAACCAGAAGCAGGGGGAGGGCCAGTTCCTGCGCCACATCTCCCCAGCACACCCTGCATCACTGGGCCCTGGGTCCGTCACCGGGGGTACAGGCCAGGGGACGTGGCGTAAAGCAGATGTGCCTTACCACTTATTAACTGCATGACCTTCATGCCCCTATCTGCAAAATGGGGACAATAAAATTATCTCCCACACGGAGCTGCTGTAGGGATTCAATAGAATTATGCGGGTGAAATGCTTCTCATCGCTATTATTCTGATAAGAAAAAAATGTAGGGTTCAGAACTTAAAAGCAGAGAAAAATATTCTAACCCACAAAAGGGTCAGGACCTGAGATTTTTGAGGAAAAGAGGGAGACGCAGAAGAGATTAAGGTTTGGAAGGAAATCTCCCTCCATAGACCCCTGGGGGAGCAGAAGAGCCCCATCCAGATGGGCAGGATTGGGGCCTCCCCTGGGGGAAGTTGGCCCAACTCGGGGGCCCTTGGCTCAACGTAAGCTGATGTGTCCTTTCTGTCCTGTCCGGGCACAGAGGAGGGCATGGCCCCTGCCCTCCGCCAACTGTACAAGGAACTCATGGGGCCGTGGAACAAGGATGAGATCAGCACTGCTGATGCCATTTTCGTGCAGCGGGATCTGAAGCTGGTCCGTGGCTTCATGCCCCACTTCTTCAGGCTGTTCCAGACCACGGTCAAGCAGGTGGACTTCTCCGAGGTGGAGAGAGCCAGGTTCATCGTCAACGACTGGGTGAAGAGACATACAAAAGGTGAGCGGGGGGCGCCTGGGTGGCTCAGTTGGTTAAGCGACTGCCTTCGGCTCAGGTCATGATCCTGGAGTCCCTGGATCGAGTCCCGCATCGGGCTCCCTGCTCGGCAGGGAGTCTGCTTCTCCCTCTGACCCTCCTCCCTCTCATGCTCTCTGTCTCTCATTCTCTCTGTCTCAAATAAATAAATAAAATCTTTAAAAAAAAAAAAAAGGTGAGCGGGTAGGGAGAGGAGGCTGGGCCCGAGGGCCTGCAGAGGAAGGGGATCTGGAAACAAATCTCCAGCATCCCAACCTCTCCCCAGCAGCGTGCTCTTCTCTGTAGTTGGGTCAGGCGCTTTAAGAATCAGAGCATCTTTGTTTTCATAAGTAGGCCATCTCACGAACCACCTCTAAGGGCAGCCCTAAAAAGTGCTGTGAGTTGTCATAAGAACGGTTACGACCACAAGAAGAATACACAGCTCTCTCAGTCTCCAGCTTAGGGAGCAAAGTAAGGGAGGACTCACTCTCTGCGTCTGATCTTGGGCAGGATCCCAGGGCCAGAGCATGTGCTGAGCGGAAAACCCTCCCGAGACTCCTGGGAAGATGGAACAGGTTGAACACAGCTAGACTGGCTCACTTACGCCCCCAGTCTGCCTCCTGACCGGATCCCCTCAGAGACACACACATCCAATCTGAGGACCGAAGGGAACCCGCTAAGAGGATTAAAGCCTATCTAGCCCCCTCATGGCTCACCTGGCTTTCTCGTAGGCATGATTGGTGACTTACTGGGCAGAGGGGCCGTGGATCAGCTGACGCGCCTGATGCTGGTGAATGCCCTCTACTTCAACGGCCAGTGGAAGACACCCTTCCCCGAGTCGGGCACCCACCACCGCCTCTTCCACAAATCCGACGGCAGCACCATCTCTGTGCCCATGATGGCTCAAACCAACAAGTTCAACTACAGTAAGTTCAAGACCTCTTTCCAAAAGTCCCACCACTACTATACCTCATCCCCCTGGGGGGTTCCCTTTCCGGGGGAGGAGAAAACCCCGAATGTAGCCCAGCTTTGCCAAAGACTCCCCAAGCAGAAGCTGTTGGGATAACGGGAGCAGCCGAAAGTAGCTTTAGCTCATGCGAGAGGAAGCTGACATCCAGGAAGTCCCTCGAGCCCGCCTATGACCACGTGACCCCGGTCTCTGGTCCCCGAGTGTTTCTAGTGTGATTACAAGGGCAGGGGGGGCGGGGGGGCTCACAAATCCTGCTGGGGGCAGGCCTGTGTGGAAGTTGAGCTGAAGGAGAGAAGACTCGGAATGAGTTAGTGGCTGAGTGTGGGGGAGAGGGGGGTGAAGGCCAAGAAGGCCCAAAGGAGACAGAGTTACCAGAAGACATTGAATTGGCAGAAGAGAAGGGAAATGGGGATTAAAAAACTCTGACTGGGGGAGCCTCCAAAGCCCAGGTAGAAAGCTGGCTTCCAGAAAGAGGAGATAGAACTCGTTGCAAACCCAGTGCTGGGTGAGAACCAACAAGAGGGGTCATCTTCAGTGTGCCAATCTGCTGTCTTCGCAGCCGAGTTTTCTACCCCCGACGGCCGTTACTACGACATCCTGGAATTGCCCTACCACGGGGACACTCTCAGCATGTTCATTGCTGCTCCTTATGAGAAAGAGGTGCCTCTCTCTGCCCTCACCGACATCCTGGATGCCCAGCTCATCAGCCAGTGGAAAGGGAATATGACCAGGCGCCTCCGCCTCCTGGTTCTGCCCAAGTAAGTCATCCCTTGCTCTCACCACCCTTGCCAACACCCCAACCCCCTCTACCTGCCCCCTTCCCATCCCGCAGGGCTCCCTGAAAGGACCACCCCCTCATCGAGTTTCCCAAATGTGACATTTGTAGGGCAGGGACGTGTGTGGGAAGCTGATGGGAAACACTCCGGCCTGGGTTTGATTAAGATTCCTCCCATCCTCCCTCCTCCTGTTTCCAGTGGAGGGCGGCGGGGAATTTTTCTAGACCATGCCCCCACACTTACCACCCTCAGAATACCCAGCCAAAGCCAGCCAAAGGAAGAGCCGGAGAAATGGTGGAGGTGGGGGGGATAGATCGGCCTGTGAAAGACCCTCTCCCACCCGCATGGCTCAAGTCAACATCCAAACAATGGAGACAAAAGGAGCCCGAGCAGCTTCTTTCTAGCTGGCTTCCAACCAAGCAGATTTTAAAAATCCTTCTGCAGAAGCACAGAGGGTGGAGAAGGCTGAGGCTGGGTCATTCCAGAATTATAGGAAGCCTCCCACCACACTTAGCCAATTTCCAGATGCTTTAATGGCAGGCCTGGGGAAAGGGGAGAATTTAGCTGGTTTGCGGGCTCTTGCCCCTCCCTGGCCCCCAGCCCTAGAAAGTGAAACCCAAGTTAATGAGAGCCCTGATGGGAAGCAGGGGGAGCCCAAAGCCTCTCTGCTGGAGTCCTCTTCAGAATTAGCTCCCAGAAACACAATCTACAGATCAGGTTCCAGGGGGTGGGGAGATGGCAGAGAATGTTCATTTCTATTAGGCCTTACATGCAGATTTGAAAAGACGAGCCTCCCTCCACTTCCACATCTGTCCCCATCCTGTCGGGCCAGCCAGCCAGCCCAGGGAGGGGATACGATGTCAGGGACTGGGAGAGGCTGCAAGGGGCGGCCTGAGCTTGAGCTGTTTCCTGCTCCTGTTCCCAGGTTCTCCCTGGAGAGCGAAGTCAACCTCCGGGGGCCCCTGGAGAACTTGGGGATGACCGACATGTTTAGGCCACACCAGGCGGACTTCTCGAGTCTTTCAGGTAGGAGATTTTCCTTTCACTTTCTTCCGCTGGTGGACTGTGGGGCCCCTAAGAGGACAAAGGAGTGTGTCCCTGAGAACCCCAGCTGATCTGCCCTCGGATCCACTTGTGTTTCAGATCAAGAGGGACTGTATGTGTCCCAGGCACTGCAAAAAGTGAAGATCGAGGTGAATGAGAGTGGCACGGTGGCATCTTCCTCTACAGGTGAGTCAGGTTCAGGTGAGGCCTGGTGGGTCTCAGCCCAGGACTTCCAGGAGGGGCCCACATCTGGGATGGATTCCACGGCTCTGCTCTACCAGCCTCTTGCCTCTCCCCATGGAGCGGCACCCCCTCCCGCCCCCGGTGCCAAGGGCATCGCCCCAACCCCACCAGAGTTTCTCAGCCTAGAAGGTGAGCCCACTTGGCCTGGGAGCCCAGTCCCTCACCCGATGGCTCCAGAGGTCCCCTGAAGGTGAAAAGCCCCCCCCCCCCAAGGAAGCCTGGCTTCTCACGGTGGCTAGTCAGCTTAAGGAACTGGCTCACCAAGACGCTCTAAAAGGGCTCACCTAAATGGCTGTGAGGAGTGGATAGATCTCTACGAAACTCCTGGAGGAAACCAGGCCTCCAAGAACTTCCCTAAACCGTTCAGGTTCACGGCCAGAACGACCAAGCCTCCTAGTCACCCCCCAAGGCTGCCATCAGAAGGCTGGTGTCAGGGGATTCCTGATGATCAGTCCAGGCGCCAGTGCCCAGTCCCTCTGTTCTAGATCATTGTTCCTTCTCTCTTAGCCATCATCGTCTCAGCCCGAATGGCCCCCGAGGAGATCATCATGGACAGACCCTTCCTCTTTGTGGTGCGGCATAACCCCACCGGTGAGCCGGGGCTGTGATGCTCCCCTGCCCTCTCCCCCACCCCCGCCCCATTTTCTCGCCCCAGGCACCAGTCTAGACAGGTGTAGACACTCCCTCCCACCCCAATGGGACTCCAGACAAAGAATCCATAGCTCTGCTCCACCTCTTCCATTCAGGGACGATGCTCTGTCACCATCAGAGCACCGTGCCAGGACCCCAGCCCTAGCTTAGTCACAACAGCAGCTGGGACTCCAGACAGCTCACTCACGCTCTCACATCTCAGTTCATCCATAAACATGGGCCTGGGTGAGCTATGCCCTTTCTTCCCGTTCTCATCTCCCACGCTTCTTCCGTCCTCAGGAACGGTCCTTTTCATGGGCCAAGTGATGGAACCCTGACCGTGAGAAAAGCAGCCCTCATCTGGGACAGAACTGGAGATGTATCCGAGAAAGAAGGAACTCCAAAGGGGAAAAATATATATATATTTTAATTAACTTTTCTGGAAGAAAAAAAAGGCATTTGCCTTTTTTTTTTTTAAGAGAAAAAAAAGGTAAATCTTTCAAATCTGCCTCCCAGACCTCAGCCTCTCCCAGGAGTGGGGAAGAGGACCTTTCAGTAAAACTCTCTCATGGAGCCCCCAGGAGAGACTCCGAAGCACAGCTGGGTCTCCACACCAGACTGTAAAACTCTGTACAACCCACCAGCACAGCTGCTTCTGCCCAGCGCTCTGCCCTCCGGGTCTTCGGACCTGGACCCTGCTGAGACCCTGGCAGGATGGCACCCCAAGGCTTATGGGAGCTTTTGTGTGCTTGGTAGAAACGATTTGTGTTCCAGTCACGTTGCTGTCACTCTCACACTGCCTTCCACTGCTAAGGAGGCTGGCGGCGAGCCAAAGGCCAGTGGGAGAGGCGCCCTTTCAGCTCGAGGTCTGTGCTGCCCCAGCTCAGAGGTCACGCGGATGGGCAGTGCCCCTGCCCACCCCGTGTGGAAACCCGCCCTGGCTTGGCCGTCTCCCTCCCAAGAAACAGTGTGCGTATGTTCTTTTGGAGTGCAGGTGACTTGTTTACTCATAGGAGCGGGTTTCTGCTTCCCACTAACTTTATTTTGGAGGAATGGAGGAAGAAAAGTGAGATGTGTGCCTGGCTCTTGGCTCTCAACTCCTGGTGGGGAGGATGGGATGCCAGGGATGTGCTTCAGTATTTATTACATCCTCGTCCTTGTGTGCTTGTGAGAGAGAACGAGGATGCTCAAGAAAAACGTATTATATGAACTTGCTTGTAATGTTCCCTGGTGGTCTGTGTCTTGCATCTCAGGAGTCTGGCCCCTTAACTAGCTGCCCCTCTGGGCGGCAAGCGTGGTGGGGCCCACACTGCCACCTTGTGGCTTCCCGAGCCCGATGGCTCCTCTCCCTTCCTGGCCCTTCCACTTGATGGCTAAGACCCCCGCCAAGATTATCCACCTTTAGGGACCAAAAGGATGTGGTGGGTCAGAGAGACTACAGCGAGGACAGAGTAGTTTCAAAATTTTCCAATATATTTAGGAACAGGAGAGCAAGGGGCTGCACGACCTAGCAGGACGGAACTTTCCCCAATTACAGGGTGATTCACAGCCGCATTGGTGACTCACTTCGATGTGTCATTTCCGGCTGCTGTGTGCAAGCAGTGGACACGTGAGAGAGGGTGAGAGAGATTGAGAGAGAGAGGAGAATGAGAGAGACCATGAGCTTGAACTTAACTACCCTAGCTAGATAATCTTTCTGAAAACCAGCAAGCTAGAGGCCATGGTATGAAGACCAATTTGTTAAAGAATTGCACAGAGATGTCGAATGAATGAATGTAATCCAAATAGGACCCTAATAACCTCCCTCCCCCACCCCCGTGCTCTTCAGTGAAAAATCTTTGTTCTTTGTTTGTTTGTTTCTCATAATGCACTGGACATGACAGCTACACACAGTACCCATAAGGATACCCAAATGTGGGGTCCAACATTCTTGAAGTTGTGTTGAATCATATGCTTTTTCACTTTTGATATATAAACGAGTAAAATATTTAAAAAAAATAATAAAATAAATTAATTAAAATATTCCAAAAGAGTCCCTGTCTTTACTTTCCACATTTCACACAGTACAAAATCAGAATTCCATCAGTCCATAGATTTCTCCACTAAAGGGGATCTTTACGCCCACAAGCCCAAGGCACGGAGACTTGCCCTGGGCAAGTCGCTGGGGCTGACCATGGGGCCTCTGCAAGAAGGCCCATGGGACATGTTGTGCAGGGCGAAATTCTCCCCCTGGGCGTCACCCTCAAAAAGGAAAGAGGGGTCCTTCAAACACCTTCCACCTGCCCTGACACCTGCTCATGCGCACTGTCCCTGTGGGTTCCCATCTCTGTTCATGCCATTGCCTTCCCTGTCAAATGCCCCCACCCCTGCGCCTACCCCACCCCCCACTTCTCAAAACCCAGACCAAGTCCGGCTCTTCAACCTGGTGTTCCCCATGGGTCTGGTCCACACCATCACTCTCTACTTGGCATTTAACAAGATTTCTTTTTCCGGGTGTGAAACAGTGCTCGTATTCATGTGTGCTCTTTAACTTTGAGTGTATTACCCTCACCATCCCCATGTACAGATCGGGTTCCTTTGAAAACAAGGCTCTTTTGTGATATAGACTCTCTTAATATCCTCCTGAAAACGACATCCTGGAAAGTCTTTTATTCTCTTCCTCTAGTCTCATGAAGGCTCTTGCCAGGGGACATACCTCCCCCAATTAGTTTCTGTTCATATCTTCAAAAAAATCATCTTTTAAACTGAAAAAAATACCAAGAATTAGCTGTCGAAACTATATGCTGTCCACCTCCAGAACCCTAAAGATAGGATTGATAGATCCAGCCCCCTGCAAACCTAAGTCTCTCTCTCTTTTTAATTTTTATTTCTTTTAAGGAATCTCTAAGCACAACGTGGGGCTCGAATTCATGAACTCATGATCAAGAGTGAGTTCAGACTGAGCAAGTCCCTAGTTCTTGCCTTAATAGGAACTAATTACCATCTGGGGGCTCTTGCAAAATGCTGTCTGACAGTTAATAGGTAGTGAGCTCTCCATCACTGGAAGTGTTTAAGGACAGCCAGGATAACCTCTTGGTGGCGATGCTTCTGCAGTCAGGGTATATTTTTTAAAATGTAAAATGTATATTTTAATCTAAATTTAATTTTAAATGTCAGGTGACTTATTTAAGTGATACCAAACACAAGCTCATAGTAAGACTCAGAAAGGTAAAAATGGGAACTTAATTGGTCCCCAGTTTCTTCTGTGTTCTTTTAGAACTTTGCTAAGCATTTATAAGCATATTTAAAATATTCTTCACTTTCACACAAATAAGATTATACATACCTAATTATATATATAATTATATATATATATACACATACCTACATACACACACACACACAGTGTTTGGCAACTTGCTTTATTTACCTAATGATATATCCTACACACCTGCCCTCATTCTCTTTACCAGTTGCATGTATAGATGTACTATAATTCCTTAACCACTGTTGATGGATTTGGGTGGTTCCATGGCCTTTTTTTATTGCCATTTTTTTTTTTAGATTTTATTTATTTATTTGACAGAGAGAGATACAGCGAGAGAGGGAACACAAGCAGGGGGAGTAGGAGAGGGAGAAGCAGGCTTCCTGCCAAGCAAGGAGCCCGAAGCGGGGCTCAATCCCAGGACCCTGGGATCGTGACCTGAGCTGAAGGCACACGTTTAACAACTTAGCCACCCAGGCACCCCTTTTATTGCCATTTTTGTTACCAACAAGGCTGAGATAGACATCTTTGCACATTCATCCCAGTACATGTGTGCTTGTGTGTCCATAGGGTAACTTCCTAGCAGCAGGACTAAGGATCTTTCAAGAAACTCTCAACCCTGCAGTCATGTGACTCTGGTAATACAAACATTTTCAAAAGGCACAAAACAGTCAAAAGTGATCATTCTGCCTGGTTAGAATCTTACTTCTTCTCAAGCTTAAATAAGCCTTCACAACTTTCCTAAATAAGCCCACTGCTGTGAATGAAGATAGATTTTAGGCCTTGAACTAAAGGAACCTTCACATTATAATTTTCTCTAAATTGTGTTAGACTTCCTTGGAGCAAGTTTAGATTATGCTGTAAATCCAGAAAGGGCGTTCATTCAACCTACTCACTCCCCAATCATTCAACATTTGCTAAAGGCCTTCTCCCTGACCCTGTCATTCCTGTTTCCCTCTAGAGGGACAGTTAGAGACCTTCTTGGATGCCTCCAAAGTGGTACACTAAGATGTTCAAAGGGGATGCGGTTGTTTGGCACCTTCTCCTTATGTTTTCCTCTCTTTGGATTTGTCTTTTTTTTTAGGTTTTCTTCTCCCCTAAGGGTCCATATAGTAAGAGGGACCCCAAAGCCCAATCAAACCTGAAAGGAAGGTCTCCTCTCTTCTTAGAAAGCCAATGGATTAACTGTACTGGAATTAAAATGTAAATTTTGGAAGGAAGGAAGGAAGGTGGAAGGGAAAGAAGGAAGGAAGGTAGAAGGGAGGGAAGGAAGGGAGGAAGGGAGGGAGGGAGGGAGGGAGGAAGGGAGGAAGGGAGGGAGGGAGGAAGGGAGGGAGGGAGGGAGATGGGGCGTAAGGAAAGAAGGCCAGTATGCATAGCCCACTGAAGCTACTCTGAGCTTTCGAAAGATGATCTCAACCTCAGTGAATGCTCCTTCTTTCCTTTCCAATTCTCTGGCAAGCTCTGTGGGACCAAGATGGAACTAGAAACTCGTCACAGAACTAGAGAAAAGGGGCCATAGAGGCCACTTGGCCTGCTTCTAGCTGGCTCAGACCAGAGATGCCCAAACTAGACGTGGCCTGATCCAGTTCACAAGATCACTGAGATTGGTAGCCAAAACTTCAGCTGGTACTAAAGTATTCCTCTTTCTGCAAGAATACTTCCTTCCTCTTGTATAGCTCTCCCTTTGGGCTCATAGTGGGGAGCTGGAGTCATGAAGGTAACGGTCCAAGAATTCAGGGATACAGGGACCCAGACAGATCTGTCCTCCTTACCCCTGAAAAGATGACCAATTCCATGAACTGGGCTAGCTGTTGAGGATTTACCCATCGGTAACAGATTTGCTTAGAAACTGAAAGAGTCTTGAAAAGCAGAGCAAGTTAGCCTGGTTCGACAGTGTACCGTTCAAAAACCCATCCATCCTTGCTGAGAAGTCTCAGAAGAGAAGGGTTCATCAGAAGGCCTCACCCCCGCAGAGAGAGTTTGCTCCGGGAGGTGCCCTATTTAACTGTGCCCTCTGCTTTTCTCAGATATTTTGGGGACAGAGATGATGATGCGGCCTCACAGTACAAAGCCTGCCCAGCCCTGCCTGGCTTCGCCCTGGCCCGCCTCCTCCACCCTTCCAAATCTCTCTTCCTCCATCTCTTTAGAAATGAAAAGCCAACAAGATTTGCTTCCAGCCATCATTACAGCACATTTCTTATAAACCTCACACAGTGGAATTATTTATCTGCCCACGTGTGGGCAATGAGTATGACTCATTCTGTAAATCCCTCCATGGTAAAAATATTCCATCAGAATGAAACTTGTCAAGGAGACACCATCTGTTTTCCAAACCACTCTTTTTTTTTTTTTAGGTGGTTCCTCAAGTAAGTTTTGTTGCAATAGTAGCAAATACTTATGTCGAGATGAGGAAAGCAGGCAGAGAGGGGTTGAGAAACTTGTCACTATTATTATTATTATTATTATTATTATTATTATTATTATTATTACATAACAGCCCAGATGCCTCTGTGCTCTTTGTTACACTGTCCTACCCCGCTCTGTGGCATTTGTGAACACAGGTCTCCCTGCCCCCACGTGCCAGGCACCAGCATGCCCTTATACCTCCGCCTTCAGCCTGCACGCCCGCCTCCTACCACCACATAGCCTTTTCCTTTATTTCCTAGCCACCAGATGTCGCTTTGACTCCAGTGGAAAGCTCTTTTTGAAGCAAAGCAGCTGTAGCTTCTGCCAAAATCTGGCCAAGTTTGAGCCCCATACGATTTAACAAGTATTTATTTAAAAGCTTAACTTGATACTGGGTACTGTGAAGCCCTTTTAAAAAGCATAAGTGATCTTTCTTACTATCAAGTACCTAAGGAGAGTAGACACCAAAAAGCTGAAATGCTACATGAGTCACTGCCCAAAGATGGTTGAAGGGAACACTGTCAAAATGATCGCCATGGTCTACACTAGAGTGCAAGGCTCATCAGGACTGGGACCTTGATGGAAACTTACAGGATGGATAAGGTGGATTTGGGTCTGTGGGGCAGGCATGGTAGGGCATTTCAGAAAACAGTGTGGACAAAATGACAAAGGAACAATACTAGCAAGTCATGTTCAAGGCACATATCTGAGGAGAAGGTTGGTCTTTAGACTGCTGTCTCTCTCCTCTGATAACCCAGCCAGTCAACTCTCCCCCTCTTCGAAACACCCTCTCCTGATCTAGTCAGGCAAGTCTGGCCTATGTCCCTTGAATCAGCCATGCTTTCTTGTTATCCTTCATGTCCCAGGATTATAGCCTGCAAGCCTACGAAAAGGTGGTGACATTTACCACAATGGGAAACCAAAAGATGGGATGGTTTCAGGGGAGGGCAAAGGAAGAAGGCACCTCAGTGAAGCTTGAGATGACAATGGAATTTTCTTTTTTGAAAAAAGGTTTTATTTCTTTATTTGAGGGAGAAAGCGAGAGAGTGATGGAGAGAGCACAAGCAGGGGGAGCTGCAGAAGGACAGGGAGAAGCAGGCTTCCTGCTAGGCAGGGAGCCCGACAGGGGGCTCAACCCAGGACCCTGGGATCATGACCTGAGCTGAAGACAGACGTTCAACCAACTGAGCCACCCAGGCTCCCCAACAATGGAATTTTCAAATGGAGGATCCAGTGTCCATTTATTCAACCAATATTGGGTATCTACTGCTATACATCAGGAATTGTGCTGGGCACAGTAGAAACAGCAAAAGAAGACAGTTTATCCTCTAGCAGAAATAATAGACATTGGACATGCTACCGCTATATACAAAATTA